TGATGCTAGAAGTCAGAATAGTGGTACCCATGGGTGGGGAGTGGTGATTGAGGGGGGCCACAAGGAGCTTGGGAGCTGCTAGAAATGTCCTCTATCATGATGAGGGCAGTAGCTACACGGGTTTACATACATGTAACAAGTCATTGAGCTGAACATGTTGGATGAGCGCACTTCACTAGATGTATATTAAACTTCAATTTAGCCAGGAACCAAAATATAAGAACCAAAATTATAAAACAATTAGAAGAAAACATAGGGGTAAATGTTCAAATTTGGCAGTAGATTCATAGCTCTGACACTGGAAGAATGAGCAACAAAAGAAAAAACAGAGATTGGACTTCATAAAAATTTTAAAAACTTTTGTGCATCAAAGGGTGTTCTGAAGGGGCGCCTGGGTGGCTCAGTCGTTAAGCGTCTGCCTTCGGCTCAGGTCATGATCCCAGGGTCCTGGGATCAAGCCCCGCTTTGGGCTCCCTGCTCAGCGGGGAGCCTGCTTCTCCCTATCCGATTCCCCTTGCTTGTGTTCCCTCTCTCGCTGTGTCTCTCTCTGTCAAATAAATAAATAAAATCTTAAAAAAAAAAAAAAGGGTGTTCTGAAAAATGTGAAAAGACAACCTACAGAATGGGAGAAAATATCTGCAGATCATATTTTTAATAAGGGTTTGCTAGCCAGAATATATGAAGAACTCTTATAATTCAACAACCACACACACACACACACACACACACACACACAAAAACAATTAGGGGTGCCTGGCTGGCTCAGTCCGTAAAACATGGGACTCTTGATCTCAGGTTGTGAATTCAAGCCCTACATTGGGCATGGAGCCAACTTAAAAAAAAATTAGAAATGGGCAGAGGACTTGAATAGACATTCGTCCCTAAAGTATATATAAATAGCAAAAAAGCACATGAAAAGATATTCATCATTAAGGAACATGGCCTGTTATTAAGGAAACGCAAATTAAAACACAATGAGATACCACATCACACCCTCTAGGATGTCTTTCATTTCAAAAACGGAAATAATAAATGTTGGCAAGGATGTGGGCAAATTAGAACCCTCATACACTGCCAGTAGGAATGTAAAATGGTGCAACCGCTTTGTAAAACAGTCCGGCAGTTTTTCACAAGGTGAAACAGAGAATTACCATATGAGCCAGCAATTCTACTCTTAGGTACATACCCAAAATAAATGAAACATATGTCCACACAAAAACTTGTACACAAATGTCTATAGCAGCCTTAGTCATAATACCCCAAAAGGAGAAACATTCAAATGTCCCTCAACTTATGCATAAATAAATAATTGGTATATCCATACAATAGAATATTATTCAGCAATAAAAAAGAACAGAGTATTTATACATACGACAACATAAATGAGCCTGGAAAACATGCTAAGGGAAAGAAACCAGATGTAGAAGGTCACATTTGGTATGATTCCATTTATATGAAATGTACAAAATAGGCAAATCCATAGAGACAGAAAGAGGATTAGTGGTTCCCAGGAAATGCGATTGGGAGTGATTTCTTCATGGGAAGGGGATGATTTTCTGGTATAATAAAAAAGTTTTGAAAACTAGAGAGAAGTGGTGGTTGCACAACATTGTGAATGCACAAAATTCTATTGAAGTCTATGCTTTAAAATGGTTAATTGTATGTTATGTAAATTTCAACCTCATTTATAAAATAAATAAACTTCAATTTAAAAGGTGAATGGAGGGGCCGCTGGGTGGCTCAGTCAGTTAAGCAGCTGCCTTCAGCTCAGGTCATGTTCCCAGAGTCCTGGGATCGAGCCCCGCATCGGGCTCCCTGCTCAGCGGGAAGTCAGCTTCTCCCTCTGCCTTGTTCAATCTCTCTATCTCTCTGTCAAATAAATAAATAAAATCTTTAAAAAAAAGTGAATGGAGGGGTGCCTGAGTGGCTCAGTGGGTTAAGCGTCCAACTCTTGATTTCAGTTCAGGTCATGATCACAGGGTCCTGGGATCGAGCCCAAGTAGGGCTCTATGCTCAGTGGGAAGTCAGCTTAAGGATTTCTCTCCCTCTCCCTCTGCACCATCCCCCCAATCTCTCTCTCTCAAATAAATAAATACATCTTTAAAAAAATAAAAAGTGAATGGAAAATGAAACGCATAAACATCACCTCACATCCTAGGGGCACTGACAAGAACTTGCTGGGTGCCAAGCACACTCATCCATCGCCTCCATTTGCCTCACTGCAGCCCCAAGAGATGGGCATTCTCTGGAGCTCAGGGAGGGAAGTGACTGAGCCAGGCTCACACAAGGTGCCAAGGGACAGTGCCCTAGTTTCTCAGACCTCTGGGCCCCCGGACTCCTGCAATCACGGTGGCCCCTTGGGAATCTCGCCTGGCCTCCCTGGGTGGGAGCTGGTGAGGTCAGGGGCCAGGAACGTTTCTGCAGCCGCGAAGCAGAAGTTAGTGACTGAGGAGCTTGGAATGTGCTGCCTCTGAAAGGTCCTCCTTGTGGCTCCACCAACGGTTAGGGCAGGAAGGGACTTTCAGAACCACGCAATCACACACACACACACACACACACACACACACACACACACACAGATTTGAGACCTGAGCCCCTGAGCTCAGTCACTGCCCCAGGATGCTGGGGAGAGTGGGACAGGGTGGTGTTTCTGGATCAGGCAGATGTATGCAGTCGAGGCTGACCTGTGTCAGTCCTCACATGTGCCACCACCAGACCGCCTTTGTCACCTTGACCCATCCAACTTGGGCTCAGCCAAAGAGTTCAAACATCAGTTAGTGTGTGTGTGCTGCATGACTGCCTTGGAATGTGATCAGAACCCCAAGGGCTCCCACTTCTGGAGCTTTTTATTAACATGTGTATTTGCTTTTGCTGTGTTTTTTTTTTTTTTTAAGATTTTATATATTTATTTGACAGAGAGAGATAGCGAGAGCAGGAACACAAGCAGGGGGAGTGGGAGAGGGAGAAGCAGGCTTCCCAGTGAGCAGGGAGCCCAATGTGGGGCTCGATCCCAGGACCCTGGGATCATGACCCAAGCCGAAGGCAGACGCTCAGTGAATGAGCCACCCAGGCATCCCTGGTTTTGCTATTGGTCAAGTTCTTACTATATGCCGGGCTAAACATGTGATGTTATTTTATTTCTATTCTGTAACAACCCTGACATGTAGATTGTGTGTCTCATCTAGATCATACAGCTGGTGAGCAGCCTAACCAAAATTCAAACTCCAGAACCCAGAGCTGTCTGATTTCAGCATGCATGTTCTTTTCCATGGATCACACTGCCTCAAATCACTCTCTCTCTCCGTCTCTTTCACCTCTCTATTTCTCATTCTGGTAAACTGCTGTTGGTTTCTTCTTAGAGAAAGACAAGCATTGAGTAGAATAAGGGCAAGGAAGAGGCACCAAGCTGGCAACCACCTTCTGAGCAAACAGCACTTTAGAGCTTACAAAGCATTTTCACATTTATGATCTCATTTGATCCTATAGCAACCCCATGAGGTCAGCAGGAGGCTCAATCACTCCCACTGGGCCTGGGACTCAAAGGGCAGGTGACCCACCCAGGGTCACAGAGACAGAAAATGGTAGCTTGGGGACTGGAAGCGCACGGCCAAGCTGGCCTTCTGTGTCTGAGTCCTGAGTGCACCCACAGACCCCAGGGAGGGCAGCCCAGGACCCTGCTTCCCCAAACTCTTCCTTCCCTGAGGACAAAACTGGAGCTGATCAAATGGAGGTAGCAGTGGAAAGCAGAAGAGCCCAGCTCTCTTTCTGTAGTTGTGTGACCCTGGCAGTGGGAGGAAGCAGAGAAGTTTTGGGGTGCTCCTCTCAGCACTGACATTCTGCACCGGTGAAAAAGTGTTTAGGAGGGCTTTGAGAAATCTTGACTGAGCGTGGGCTTGGGGCTCCCACAGCCCTGATTTGGCAACCTGCTTCAGCCACTCTCTTAGGGACATTAGGCACTTCATTTCAACATCCCTCAGCCTTAGTTTCCCCATCTGTAAAATGGGGATGACGATGGTACCTACTCCCCAGGGTTGTTGGCCTTGGTTGTTGAAATTTGGCCCCAGCCTCACATTCATACAGACCTTTGACATAATCTCCAAATAAGGCTGTTGACCACACAGCCCCCAGAGAATGGTGACGGTATTTAAAGAAGATGGCATTTATCAGACCACAGGACAGCTGTGTCCCGCTGCAGGCTCTGCAGGCTCTTAACCGCTTATGGAGGCTCTGAATTAAAACTTGTTATAACTTCTGAAATTATCCTATGAGTAGCACAGTCATGTTGCCTTGTATTTGTGGGTAGTTCAAACCATTAACTTGTTCATTGTAAACATTTCCCTTTCGGTAAGCCTGGTTTATCACTTCTCCACTTTTTAGTATACCTGAATCTTAGATGCCAGTAGCAGGGTTCCTGGCATGAAGTAAGCACCCAGCAAATAAAATAATAACCACCACAATCACATTTATAATCCACTTCACTGTTTCCGGACCCCTTTCTCATTCTTCATTTCAACCTCTCACGCGCTGCAAGGCGTGATTCTCTCGTCCCATATGACGGATGCCAAAACTAAGGCCAGACCAGGCGGTGAGTGGGCTCCGGGGCCCGCGCCCCGAATTGGGAAGGCGGGCCCAAAGCCTGGGCTCGCCGGCGGGGTGGGGCCGGGCGCCCAGCAGCTTACAGGTGCGTAAATCCTCGGGGGAATCCTCGGTTCCACCTGGGCGCGGCGAGGAAATTGCACCATGTATGGGTAACTACGTCAGAAGGGGCAGACCGCCGCTGTCGTGGGGGACGCCGGGTCCGTCCCTTTCCCCCACTAAACGGCGGCTACCGGACTGTAGGAGGCGTAGACAAGTTCAGTGCGGACTGGCAAAAGGCGGCGCGTCTGGGGAGGTGGAGCCCTGAGGTGTCCAGTGCCGTTGAAAATCGCCCGCTCCCCCCCCCCCGCAATCGAAGTGGTTCAGCCCGAGAACTTTTCATTCATAAAAAGAAAAGACTCCGCGAGGAGCAAGTGAGTCAGAACCGAAGCCGGCGACGCGGACCCCACAAAGCAGCCAGCCAGGGCATGTTCCGAGACTTTGGGGAACCCGGACCGAGCTCCGGGGCCGGCGGTGCGTACGGCGGCCCGGCGCAGCCCCCCCCTTCAGGCCAGCAGGTGAGAGGGACCCGACGCCTGGGGTTCCCGGGTGGACAGCGCCTGGGACGCTGCGGTCGGCTCCGCACACTTTGGGATTGGGGTCGGGAACAGGAGTAGGGACTGGGTCTGGGGCCGTGGCCGTGGCCGCGGATGCTGCCCATTCTCCACGGTCTAGAGGCACATTTCCCCCGCAGCTCAGGGGAATGCTCGCGGCGGGCGCAACAAGGATCTGCGAACGTCCCCTCTCGCTGGCCCCTTTTTCCTTCGCTGTCTGCTGTCCATCTGTCCCGCCGTCTCTGTTACCTTCTTTCTTTCCTCCCGTCCACGACTCATTTCTTTGTCCTGTCTGCGTCAGAAGGACGCCCCTTAGTCCGGGATTAGTCCCAGCTCCGACAGGAGCAGAGGGTTTGATCCAGCGCGGACGAAATTCCCGGGATCCGAAGTCTGGGCTGAGGCCGAGAAGTCCCCACGCAGGAGAGAGGCGGGATCCAGCGGCAGGCTAGCCCCGACAGACTGGGAATCCTCAGCACAGTCTGTGACCATCTGTGTGTCCGTTTGTCTGTCCCCCTCTATCTGCCCCGCCAAGTCCCTATCCCCTTCTTGGCGCAGTGGAGCCTGGTGGGATCCCGGAGACTGGTTCTCGACCCCTAATTTACAGGCTGGGGCCAGTGGAGACTGAGAGATGCCGGGACATGCGCAGGGTCTTGCAGCGGGCAGCTCCCGCGCCCCCGACTCTCGTCACCGAAGGGCGCCCCGCTGCAGGCTGGGGGGACTTGGGTGGCTGCAGGTGCCCGTTTCCTGTCGAGGGGCAGCGCGCACGTGTCGCTAGGGGAGGGAAGGAGCGGCGTCCGTTCCGCCGAGTCACAGCGGCCGAGTCACGGTGGCTGACTCACCCGGGGCGCCCCTCCCTTCCTGGCCCGGAGCGCCCGGGCCCGGACTACCTCGGGAGCGGGAGACGCCGCCGGCGGTGCCTCAATCCCGGAACTGGGGTCACTGGGCCACCGGGCCCGCAGCGCTGGGGCCGGGGACACCGCTGTCTGGACTTGCCTGGGCTTGTGGCACGCTTCCGGAGGCCTGGGCGCCAGGGCCCAGCCCCAAGGCTTGAACCCAGTTCTCCTCCCCAATGCTGAATCCCCATCTTAAGCCCTTCCTCAGATTTCTGGCTGAAAGAAAATCTTGGCAGGTAATACATGGAGCTCATACAGTGCAGCCTGCATGGTCGGGGAGGTTTGTACCTCATTAACCCTATTTCACAGAATCTAAGAATTCATTGATTTGAAAACCCACCATTATATTGTGCTGCTACATTTTTCTTTTCTTTTCAAGATTTTATTTATTTATTTGACACAGAGAGAGAGCGAGAGAGGGAACACAAGCAGGGGGAGTGGGAGAGGGAGAAGCAGGCTTCCTGCTGAGCAGAGAGCCCGATGCGGGGCTTGATCCCAGGACCCTGGGATCATGACCTGAGCTGAAGGCAGACTCTTAACGACTGAGCCACCCAGGTGCCCCAATGCCACTAAATTTTTCTAAAGCTGCCAAGTGAACTGTGATTTCAGAGCTACTAAAGGGCATCTCTTAGCATCAATGAAATGCCATAATCCTCAACTACAACAATATTAAAAGTAAAGCAACGGAGGCACATTGAGGTTAAATAACTTGCCCAGAGTCATGGCCAGTAAGTGGCTGAGCTAAGAGCTCACTGGGACAGCCTAAACCCAAGGCAGTGGTTCTTGCCCACCACAGCGCCTGGGCACTGGACACCTGCCACTTACCAGGCCCTGTCCCACACATTCTCTCACCGGATTCTCTCAGCCAGCCTTGGAGACAGGAGTTGGAATTCTCCTCTTTGTGCAGGTGGGATTCAGGCAGAGTACAGGAGTATGTCTGGGCCCAAACCCCACTTCCCACTTACTGCCTATGTGTTTATGGACAACTGTTTCCCCGACTGAAAATGAAGACACTGTTGTGCAAATTAGATGAGTCAGTATTTGTAAAGTGGTTGGGACAGTGCCTGGAATTCATACTTTATAGTACGTTCCGCTAGGACAGTGAAGGCACGGCAAGGTTATGAGACTTGCCCGAAGTCACACAGCTCTTAAGCAGGGATTTGTCACCAAGTCAGTCTCTGTCAAGTTGTGCTCTTTCCGGTCTCTCGGAAGCAGCAGCCGCATTGAGGGTGGATGGCAGGGTGGCTTCTGTCCAGTGAAAACCCTCAGTCTACACAGACCTCATCCTTGGCTTTCCATTTCTCATCCCTCAGAAGTTCCACCTCGTGCCAAGCATCAACGCTGTGAGTGGCAGCCAGGAGCTGCAATGGATGGTGCAGCCTCACTTCCTGGGACCCAGCAGCTACCCCAGGCCTCTGGCCTACCCCCAGTACAGCCCCCCGCAGCCCCGGCCAGGAGTCATCCGGGCCCTTGGGCCACCTCCAGGGGTTCGTCGACGGCCCAGTGAACAGGTAAGGAGCAGAGGTGTTGTACTGGTTCTGATGCCCACAAGGATGCTGAGGTGCAGAGGACAGGTTCTTGGCCAAAAGAACACAGGCTTAGAAAGGGGGGAGATGGGGAGGTGGGGCCACTGGTGACTCCTGGCCAAGGGAGAAAGTAATAGGAGCCCCTGGGGTGATCCAGAGGGCAAAGAGGTCACTTCTAGATCAGGGAAAGCTTTCTGGAGCTGCAGGTATATTAGCCTGGAAGGATGGGTAGGATTTGCATAGGTAGAGATGAAGGAAAAGACATTCCAGGTAGGGAGGATGGCAGGAGCAAGAATGGAGGTGGAGGTGAGAACATGTAAGGTGTGCATGTGGAAAGGTGGGTGGATGGTAGAGGGTCTCCACCTGCTGACATGTATGGTGATGGTGAACATATGCTGCCTAGGGAGGTGGGGAGAGAACAGAAAGGGGAGGGTTCCCTGCAGCTACTCTCTGGGGCTAAGTTTCCCTATCTCATTTAATCTTTACAAAACGCCTCTGAGGAATGCACTCTGGTTTTCTCCATTTTACAGCTGGGAAATGAAGGCACAGAGAGGTAGTCACTTGCCCAGATCACACAAGTAGTGAGCAATGAGACAGGTCTTTTTAATTCTATTTTTTAAAAAAGATTTTATTTATTTATTTGACAGAGAGAGACACAGCGAGAGAGGGAACCCAAGCAGGGGGAGTGGGAGAGGGAGAAGCAGGCCTCCCTCGGAGCAGGGAGCGCAACGTGGGGCTCGATCCCAGGACGCTGGAATCATGACCTGAGCCTAAGACAGGTGCTTAAGGACTGAGTCACCCAGGCGCCCCAGGTCCTTTTAATTCTAAAGTGAGATCCTAACCATCAAGCCACACTATCTCATCCAGAGGTAACAGAGGCTCAAAGCAGAGTGAGCTGGGAACTCTTGGCTCCCCAACCAGGGCTCCAGCTTTCACAGTGCTAAAAAAAAGTCTTTACCAAAGTAAATAAGAGATAGAGGGCCTTTAAGGGAGTGGCTCCTCCTTCATTTTGGTATGTGAGACTGTAGCGGAGTGAGGCTTGCGCATAGGGAGCTTACCCTGACAGCAGGGTAGAAGAGGAGAGAGGTCAGGATCTTGGAAAGATGTGCAGTTAGACAAGACTTTGTGACCAACTGGAGAAGAGAACCATGCTGTGAGCCCCAGAGGCAGGCTCCTGGACTTCTTCAGCCCTGTCCTCAGGGGCGCTCTCGGTTTCTGGGACTCCTAGACTGGGGCTGTGAGCTCTAAGTGGGGTTCTTTTGGGGGAGGTGGTCTCCATCAGCAGGCCTCTCAGTGTTGAATAGAGTGAGTGGATTTTAGTTTCTGCCCTGGGACCATAAACGCGTTATTCATCCGCTCCAGGCTTCAGTTCCTTACATGGAAAGTTGGGTTAAGAATCTGTGTAAAACTCTTCCGCCGGCATGTAATAGGTTCCTAATAAAAAAACAACTTGCTTAGCCGCAACACTCATGAATCCCTCCTAGTGCTCACAATCTCTGCGGAAAAGGACACTTGGTTGTCAAGAGATTGAAAAGAATGAGGGTCCTTCGAGAAAGAGCGATTGGTTCCCAGGGGCTCAGAGTAAGAAAGGCCACTTCTGGCTGGACAATGAGAGAAAGCTTCCTGGAAGAGTGGGGGTATCTCAGTTGAGTCCTGAGAGACGGGCGGGGGGGTGTAAAGGTTTGTGGAGTGTGTGTGTTGGGGGGGGCATTCTGAGAGAGAAATCAGAGGAGGCAAAAGCTGGGTGCGAGGAGGGAATCTGATTAATTCCATCTTACTAAAGCGTGAATGCGGGGAACCGGTCGCGGTGCAGTGTGGTCCCTGAAGCGCAGGGGC